CATTCTGTGATTCTATGATAATCTTCCTCCCAGTTCCAATACTACTGTGCCTGACAGTTCAGAGGCAGCCTGGACTGGCAGCTGGAACCTCCACTGATCGCGCTGTGTTTCTGTTCTGCTGTACCCCAAAGGCCGTGACTGTGCTGACACAATGGTCCCAGTGCTGGTTTTGGTCAGTGAAGTATCAGCAACATGCTGGCGTTGAAATCGCCTGGACTGTCACTCGTTTTCGTGGAGTACAATTAGTTGTGCTGTGCCCATGTAATTCAATTGTGGGACAAATGCTTTTTCTCTGCCCTGTGCTGAAAAAAATGTCAAGGTCTTTATTGAGCTTCTGCAGTTTGACAGCTTCCTCTCGCGTGGAGTGTCCGTACTGGGAGTGCTCCCTTCTTGCTGCGGTCCCTTAGCAGCCTCTACCTGTCAGTGAAGGTTTTGTGGTGCCTTCCCTTCAGAAGGACTGGTGACCTGTTATCCAAAGCAGTCCTCTGTTGTCATTCCCTTCAGCAGAACCTGAGGGATGTCTCTGTTGGCTTTGCTTTTTGTACTCTTTGGTCTGGGATTTGGAGAGGGTGCCAGTAGGATCCTAACAGATACTCATGATCAGCAGAATCCCAACTTTTGCAGGTGGAAGTTTAGAAATACTAGTGGGTAAAATTTACCTGCAGAACTTGATGCTTGCCTTTTGGTGCCCATATATGTCAAACAGAATCTTGTTCCTAGTTCCCAAATTTGAGTGTAAACCCCACTCTAAGATGTTTTCAAAAACCACAGTTCTTTCTTGAAGGAATGATATGCTAGAATTTGGGGGCAGAATTAATATTCAGCACTTCAGTTCCTGGAGTCTAGCAGAGTCCATGTAAATCCTTCACTATCCTTGCTGTGCAGTCCTAATACTGGATGGGTAAGAAGTGGAATTTGGTCATTTTCTGTTGAAGTTGTGGAAGAAGGGTGTAAAAAGCTTCTGGTGTATTGAAACAGGCTTCTGGATTCCTTACGTCCTAACTTTGTCAGTGATTCCTTCCAATATGTCCAGTACTGAATGTCAGCCACTCGGGAGTGTGATTGAATTGGGAAAATGTTATTAATGGGGCAGGGCTTAATATTTAAGACCATGATGTGTGACTGGTGATAAAAATATGGTTTTACTTTTTAATGTATTGTAAAACTTACTGACCTGATTTTTGTTTGCTTGATTTAATCGCTTTAAGGTTCCTTTCTTTACGATGCAAACTCTCCTTTGACCGTTTATTATGTATTCGAGCTTGCTCTGGAAAAATACTTTTTGATCACAAGAATGAGACACTTTCAATAACAGTAAGTTCTTTTATGTTATTTCAATTACCATAATATGTAGTTAAATCTTTTTTACCTTTTTTTTAATGAATGTGTAGTGACAACATACATACTCGTCACCTTTGTAATTAGGACTGTGTCAACAGGTGTTCATCTGAACTCAAACTAAGTCCATAAGATCCCAAGTCATTACCTGGCTTTATCAGAATACTTTTCTTTTTGTATCTGATCTTCCATATTTCTCTGCAAGAAATGTATATTTAGTCAAGGAAGGTAAATTAGAAAAATAAAACAACCCCCACCAAAAGACCCTGCTCTGGAATAATTATTAATTTCTTGCTTACCTTATTAAAGGTAATGTAATTAACAGGACAAGACAATGCTTATGTTTAATCTTAAAGAGGGAGTGCCACAAGGTGTCATCATAGTCAATGGAACCCAAGGACTGTTTGCAATGTTCCGTGTATTCTGGGAAAGGAGCTGTTCGTCCTTTCAACTCCTGCTGTAAATCCTGCAGAAATAGAAAACCTGCTTTGCTATTGCAGCTGGTAACCACTGGATTTTACTGTAATATAACTCTGCCGGTTGACATTTATTAAACATGATGTAATAGCTATTAAAAATAAAGAATTGAATAAGAAAACACTGGCAAAGCCATTCAGTCTGTTCAGTGTGTTTTGCTGTGATGGAGACAGTTGCAGTGATGTGTTATGGCATGTGTTATGAAACGGTGAGGAGCCATCCCTTTCCAGAACGGAAGTGCCTCAGGTGGTTCCCAAGTGACCTCTGTCTGTTCACATGTACAGTGTTTGGTGTTACAATTATGATTCTGTTAATAAGTCTCCATCTCAGTTTTAAAAATTGCTCTCATATTTTTATTTCAAGGTTCAGCCTCGAGAGGAAGACAAATCTGCCCTAAATGACGTGAGATCCTTATCAGGAGGTGAACGTTCCTTCTCAACAGTTTGCTTCATTCTTTCTCTGTGGTCCATTACTGAATCTCCATTCAGATGCTTGGATGAATTTGATGTCTGCATGGTATAGTTTAAACTTCAACTACATTTGCCATTCTCATTTGTGTAAATCAGTGAAATATTGAGTTACCTGTGTTTTGGTTAGATTTTAAAACACTATAGTTAACTGTAAATAATAAATTAAAAAGCCCCAAACCAAAACTCCAAAACACACCTTCTTAGGGATCTTGCTTGCTTAGATTGGTGACTTCTGAAGCTTATTCTGTTTCTGAAGTTGGTACCCAGAGCTGTAAGCATCTCTGTTACTTTACGTGCTTAAGCCTTAGTTTAGTGCAAAGATAAAAAATACAACTTTTTCTTAATTCCTCAAGCAGTTGCCACAGTGTTGTCACAGGTTGCTTGAGACAGGCAATGGTTCTGGGCTTAGCATGTCCTTTGCCTTCTACCAGTTTTGAGATCAATGTGGGTCCAAGCAAGTGTGGTAGCACTTTTCCAAGATGCTGAAATGCAGAATAGCGAACAGTGAATACTAATGTCAGCCAAAATTGATAAACCTAATCTTTGTATACAGCTCTTCTGGATAGGCAATTAACCAATGGGGTATTAAAATATGTTTTTATTTTATTTCTTCCTCCTTAACATGCAGTGTGGTATGGTTTGAGAAAACAGTTAGTTCTGAGACACGAAGCGTTGATACTGGATTATTTCATCGTGCCTTCAGTCTCCCTCCCTGATCAATGATTTATTTACTGGGATTCACAGACCTAGAGAGGAGAAAAAGATTATGTATTTTGTATTTTGTACATAAAGATATTCCAAAAGGAAAATACACATCTAAGGTGACAGTCAAGCAGCCCTTTTTCAGCTGACTTCCAAAGCTTAGGTCCTCTTTCACGAGGTGGCTGTGCAAAAGTTTAACTCTCTGCCCAGAAAAGGGTGGATACTCGGAACCATTGGCCCCGCAGAGAACTTCCATGGCATCTATTCCATAAAAAATTACACATAATTTGTCTTTCCACTGCTGTGCCCCAAGTGCAACCGTGCTGTCTCCACGTTGTGTCGTTACATTTGCCGCAATCCTGCAGACCCACCACAAGAGGACTCACTCCATCAGCGTATTTCCAAGGGAGATACCCAGTTTCATGTGTGACAGCGTATGGAAGTAGAACTTTGTTTGACCTCTGCTAATAGTAGCTTCCCCTCACACAGCTATTTCAGTAAGCCCAATGCATAAGGGTGTGTTCAAAATGCTAATGATAATGATGTGTGATCTAATGTAGGTGATCCTGCTCTGGCAGGGGGGTTGGACCAGACGATCGCTAGACGTCCCTTCCAACTCCTACCACTCTGTGAATCTGTGAAGCAGGCTACATGGTGTTTTAGGTTTCATGCAGCCCATAAATCCTTGCAGGCAATTTTAAGGCAGGATTTAATAGGAAACATTATTCTACTAATCACAGAATGGTTTGGGTTGGAAGGGACCTTAAAGACCATCCAGTTCCAACCCCCCTGCCATGGGCAGGGACACCTTCCACTAGACCAGGTTGCTCAAAGCCTCATCCAGCCTGGCCTTGAACACTTCCAGGGATGGGGCATCCACAGCTTCTCTGGGCAACCTGTTCCAGTGCCTCACCACCCTCTCCGGGAAGAACTTCTTCCTGATATCCAATCTAAACCTCCCCACTTTCAATTTAAACCCGTTACCCCTTGTCCTGTCACTACAGGCCCTTGTAAAAAGTCCCCCCCAGCTTCCTTGTAGGCCCTGTTGTGTATGCACCTCAGCATAGCAATAAAGAAAGAAGTACTACATGATTATCAAAGCTGATTAAAAAAACATGGTGAGCAGGGGTGTGGGATTGGCCTGGTAGAAGTTTTCTATTGTGTATGTATACTAAAAAGTAGAATTTAAGAATTTCCCGGACTCTAGTTGTAGTTTTTAGAGTTTAATGTTTCCCCAGCTTAGTTTTTATTAGACTTCTTAGCTAAAATTTATGGTATAATGATTTAATTTTGATAGGTTTTTCTGTTAAGATATTTGCTAATTAATTTATTCTTCAGCATTTGTCCTATTTTGTGCAATAAAAGGCCAGTTAAGTGCATGGTCAGTATCACACCCTGATAAATCTTTTTTTTTCTTTAGGACATGGTTAACAGGAGAATTGCAGTGGATATGATTCTTAAGGTGGCTGACTCTCAGCATCATCGGCAGTTTATTTTGCTCACCCCACAGATCATGAGGTAATAATGTTGTGTTACGTTTCCTGGTACGAGAACTGCAGGGAAGTTCTGTTGCAAGAAGTGTAGCTTGAAAGGAGTAAATATGAAGAGAAAGCAATTTGGCTGTACGTAGCCATCAACGAGCAGTTCATTTTCTACTGCTAATGGTTCGGGGAATTCTGTAGGTTTCTCACTCTTCCTTACATAACCATAGAATCATAGAATGGTTTGGGTTGGACGGGACCTTAAAGACCATCTAGTTCCAACCCCCCTGCCATGGGCAGGGACACCTTCCACTAGACCAGGTTGCTCAAAGCCTCATCCAGCCTGGCCTTGAACACTTCCAGGGATGGGGCATCCACAGCTTCCCTGGGCAACCTGTTCCATTGCTTCACCACCCGCTCCATGATGTCTCCTAACGTGGTAGTTCAGTGGGACTTGAATCAGTTTACCATGAGCAGAACAGCTTTTAGAAATGTGTCACTGTGTAAAGTAGGCTTTGGGTAGCTTTTAGTCCTGTATTTCCCTCTCCCTTCCCCAAATTAACAGAAGACTTTGCATTTTTCCATTTTTCCTATTAATACTACAATACTTTCAAGAGGCTTGTAACTTGATTTGATTTTTTTTTAATATCACTGATGTAGGAACTGATAAATTACTCCTTGCTTTCTTTTTTTTGACTCAGTAGCATAAAATTCTTTAAAAACCTCCCTGTAAGTCGGTGGTGAAGCCATGCCCAGGTTAAGAGGACAGTCCCTGTCTAACCTTACGCGCCCAACTCTTCTCTCTAGCTGAATGTAATCAGTGAAGCCTGCAGGGTCTGGAAAATGAAGTTGATTGGCTTGTAATTGTCTTGCCTTATGAAAATCTATAAAAAAGTAGAATAATGGTATTCTGTTGTTATTTAGGTGGAAATGCTTGGGGGGTGGGGGCATTTCTGAAACCTTTCTGTAACCGTACAGGAATCTTCTGTAGGGTTATTGTTCAGGAGTTAAATAATGCAAGTGCAGCTTGGTTTTGTTACATTTTGTGACATGCTGCACGTTCAGCAAACATTTAATTTAACAAAAATAGAGGAACTTCAGAAAAAATACATTTATGATAATCAACGGAGAAGCTTTTAGTAACTGTGCTAATTCTTAGCATGCTGTGAGGGATTATACCTGTATAAGGTATGTGCCACTTGAGGATCTGTAAGGCAAATATGAACCATATTCGATCATTCTTTCATTTGGAGTTTCTCTTAAAAATACCTTTTCTATAATGAAAGTGTTCTGCGTGTTAGAAGTCACGGTTGTGATTGATCACTCATTGTCTTTACCTCAAGCTTTTGCTGAAGTCTGGCTCCACTATCAGTTCAGTGAAGCCTGAGCTGCACTCCAATGTTACTGTGTTTTAAAACTGACAAAGAAAAAACATGGAATCATCTAAAGGAAAACATGTAATGGAAAGAATCAAATAGAAACACTAGAACTTGTGAAGAAGGATCACTGTTTAAATGTTGCATGCTTTATTTTTAGTTTTCTGCCTACGAGTTCCCGTATTCGAATCCTCCGAATGCAAGACCCTGAAAGAGGCCAAAAAACACTGAATTTCCAAAATAGGAAGGACAGAGAGGAAGATCAATAAGTATCTCTGTGGCGTTACTGTTGAGGATAAGTATGTAATGATGTCTGTAAAGTTATTACTTGCTGATGCTGGATAAGAGGATCTTTTGTTAGATACTCTTAGGGAAAAAAACTAGTTCCTATATTTAAAAATATTAAAAACAATTTTTTAGACACTTACTGTATGTGTACAGACCAAGAATAAGCACAGAAAATGAGAAAATCCTGAATGTTCAGTTGACATTTTTAACTACCGACTACTAGAATTTTTTTATCAGTTGTTCTGTTGTGGTTGGGTTTGGTTTTTTTTTCTGGAAAATGTGAAATATATTTTGTATAACAATAGAGGAATATTTTAATAAACAGTGAGAACTTGTACTCATGGTAATGTTTTAGTGTCTCTACACACTTAAAAATAGCTAAAAAAATGTTAAAAATGTTGGTTTCTTCCTACCTCTGCTTTATTTCTCAAACGTGTGCTCGTTAACGCAGGCAGAGAAATGTGTGTTTCACTTTTTCCAGTGGAACCGCAGCAGCTGAACGCCAGAAGCTACTCCTACTTACAGTGTGTACGTCCGTAATTACAGACCTGAAGAGTTTACTTGCAGGATACTCTCTGGGCGGGGGGAAAAAGCTACTTTTATTTTTTTCCTAAAGAGCTTATAGGGAAGAGTTTGAAGTTCTTTGGACAGGAGTTGACAAATCCTGGCAAGTTCCTTAGAGCAATTAGAGTCTTAATTCCAATACACCGAGTTCCTGCACAGCCTGAGTTTGCAGGTGTAGGCTAAGGCTGTAGAGAGTCGCTGTGTTACAGCATAGTAAAGTGACAGAGCCCTTCCGAGGTGGAGGAGTGGAGTGGAATAATGATGTTGGGAAATAATACAGTAACTTTTCTGCAGTATTGTAGGCTGGTGTTTTGTTGGGTGTCCGCTCCCAGCATCCCTCGGGACTATACTAATTAAAATAAACTTTATTTCAATAATTCAAGTATTTACTGGGGATAAGAGGGAGAAGGAAGAACCATATTTTTCAAACTGCCCTAAATTAATGTTTGGTTTTTTTTTTTTTCTCTTCTGTTCTCCTTGCTCCAGGAACTTGAAATTGTTGGGAGCTCTTCAAAAACAATTACTTGTAGAGTTCAGTCATTAAACGTTGTTGTAATGTTACAGGAATATAAAAGCCATTGAGACTACTCAGAAAACAGTTCTGCAGTTCCTACAGTTCCTTGCTGAATAGCAATTCCTCAATAATACCTCATTGCCCCCTACGTCTTAACGCGAATTCTTTGCCGAATTTGTTTTCAGTCGCTGCGCAGTATTTTGTGTTCAGTGTTGTGTAGTTTTTTACAGAATCATGTATGAAACTTGTAAATGTCGCTGAAGTATGGAAGCTGGCCAAGAATTGAGGGAAACACCCTGAGAAAGCCAACTGCAGTTGTGCATTTGAACTCTGGGAATGTCTACTGATCTTTCTGAGGCTCCAGAGGTTTCCTTCTGAAAGCCCAGGGCAATGGGCCAACAGGCTCATAGAACCACAGAATGGTTTGGGTTGGAAGGGACCTTAAAGACCATCTAGTCCCACCCCCCCTGCCATGGGCAGGGACACCTTCCACTAGACCCGGTTGCTCAAAGCCTCATCCAGCCTGGCCTTGAACACTTCCAGGGATGGGGCATCCACAGCTTCTCTGGCCAACCTGTTCCAGTGCCTCACCACCCTCTCCAAGAAGAACTTCTTCCTCATATCCAATCTAAACCTCCCCCCTTTCAATTTAAACCCGTTACCCCTTGTCCTGTCACTACAGGCCATTGTAAAAAGTCCCCCCCAGCTTCCTTGCAGCCCCTTCAGGTACTGGAAGGCTGCAATAAGGTCTCCCCGGAGCCTTCTCTTCTCCAGGCTGAACAATCCCAGTTCTCTCAGCCTGTCCCCACAGGAGCGGTGCTCCAGCCCTCTGAGCATCTTCGTGGCCCTCCCTGTGACCCTCAGTGTGGCTGGAGGTTACTGCTGAACAGGGCCAGGCTTCTTGTGGAAGTGACAGCTGTGGTGAATGGAAGTGGGGGGGTTCTGGCTGGATAGTTGTGGGGAGGGGTGATGAAGAGATGAGGTGTTTGGGCATGGTCCCCTGCCAGGCTGTAGAAGCTGCACCCTTGGGGGCTTTCAGGGTCCAAATATACTGCTGCACCTTCACACCAGGAGTTGGGCAAGAGACCTCTGGAGGTCCCTGCCAAACCCGCAATTCCCTAACCCTGTGATTTGACGGCATATAAAAATGACAACTTTAGGATTAAGGGAAAATACTGGGGGGAGGGGAGGAGCCACACAACGCGTACTTGGCAGAAGTCTGGAACACAAGTCCAGTGGGATTGTCCTGGTCAGCCTCGACACTACAACATCATCATGAGCCGCGTGTTTGGTTCGAGTCGATTTCCTGATGAACCTGGGGTATCTCAGACCGTTTTACGCTACGACACGGTAGGATGGCGTAGCGTTCTTCCCTCCTGCTTTGCTTCAGCATCCAAAGCATGAAGAGTGCAGAGGCAGGAGAGAGAAACGCATTTATCTCCGTTAGTACTTTAATAACGAGTTGCGTGGAGAAACGAGTTCGAGGAAAATCATCGCATTCCTGATTCAGCTTTCTCCCGGGTTTTCCACGGACTTACTTGAAATATGAGAGCAGTTGGGGATAATTCTGGTCTTTGGTACAAACAAATATATTGTATTTATTCTGTACTTGATGAAGACGTCTGCCTGACTGTGTAATTATTGTAAGCAACTGCTTTCATGGTAGAAGACTAGTTCTGAATAAAATAATCCTGAAGCACTTGTCTGGAAGCGCTTATTTCTGCAGCGATCCCAAGGTCTCAAATACCTTTTTCTTGGTACTCTGGATAGAGTTTACAGCACCAGCTGCCTAGCGCCAGAACGGCAGCGCTGACGGTGCATGTGGCTGCCCCTGGCCCTTCCGCGTGGCAGCGCGTAACGCTGCGTTGAAGCAGGCAGAGCCTGCCCCGCTACGTAAATCTGGGGAGCAGGGAGACGTAGAATGAGGTACTGCTCCTCTAACGAGCGTGTGTGAGCCAGGGAGGCGTAAATCCCCTGGAATATTCAACCACCGCTCTACAAGTGGTAATTTTAAGGCAAAGGTGGAAACAAGGGGCGTATCGTTCTCAGAAGTATGGAATGTTTTCAGAAGGTGTTTTGTGTTGTACCAAGCACGCCATTACCTCAGGTATCACCCATGTAGGCTAAGACGCTGATATTAAAAAATGTAAATTTCTGCCTTTTGCTGTGTGTTTGGAATACCAAGAAACTTTAATATGAGAGGATGGCTGTGGTTGTACCTATTGCTTCTGTGTTCACCCACCCACCCGCCCCCAACACGTTCGTTAGCGAAATCTGTAAAACTTTTGGTGTTCCCCTCACTTTTAAGAGGAGGTCACTTAAAACTTGAAAATACAGAGAATGATTTGGTTTGTGTCACGTTTTATTGTCTGATTTTTAGCGATTGCGAGTTACCATCTCATTCCCCCATAAGGCAAAGAAGAAATATTAAACATGCAGCCGTAGGACGTTCAGAATTTTTTTCCTTTTCTGCAATCCTGAGAGCAACCGACGGTTGAAAGCAACTGGGAAACAGGGTGTAGGGACGTTATGGGTTTGGGGTTGTTTTGGGGGGGCTTTGGTTTTGTTGCTTTTTAATCTGCAATTGCTGCAGCCCGCTAGCGCTTCCCCAGGGCTGCGCCGAGCTTGTACTTGCCCCAGTACAGAAACTCGACTGGGGTCCACGGAATTGGTGAGGAAGGTGCTTCTCTCTTCACTCCCCCTTTATGGTTAATTTATCAGTCGTGATTTTTTACAGCATGTCTGTTTATGTGAAACCCGGGGTAGTTGAGTGTCGCATGGTGAGAGACTCCTACTTAAGGAGGGAAAAACATTGAAAGACCAGGTTTAGGCCAAGCAAATAAGCTGTATTTGACCTCCAGCTGGCTTGAAAAGTTATGTACGCGC